TGACAATTTCCCACAGACAACACCATTGATGTTACCGGTGATCATAACCTATAAGGGCCGATATCTTCGTCTGCAAAACTAGTAATAAGGAGGAGGGGGTGTACCTACAAGGCACTCTGATGCTCAAGTAAGAAAAAATGCAAAGAGATACAAGATATAAGGGTATAGGGTTTTAGAAGTGAGTGATGAATATTGAATACCTAACCCTCACAAGTGTGAAGGTTTATATAGTGTCCCCGATGCTTGGCCATTGATTCCTATTTTTGGGCCTGGATATCAGGTTCCTCAAAAATAGATAATTGTCAGGAACTAGCTGTTATGATGGGAAGAGATGCTCGGAATTAGCTGTTATAACAAGCAGAGAAGTATTCACGGCCAAGCGTGATTCTAATCGTTACTGGGCGGTTGTCTCTGTGCAGCTGGTAGGATGATAGCGTGTTATGAGTGGGCAGATATGGTCTCGTTGATCCCGGGGTTCAACCGAACACGACTCCCCGACATGAGGGGCAGAAGAAAAAAATGTCCCTTATCTATTCCAACTAATTGGGCCAAGGTCATTGGTCCATCCTAAACGTAGGAGTGGACTGGACCCTGCTTAGCTATTAGGTCAGTCCAGAACACTTTTCATTGATAACGAACAACATATTTGCATCCATTTTTGATAAGAAAAAAGGACTTTGAAACAAGGAAACAAGACACATAGAGTTGGTAATAAGACGTTGAAAATAGGAAAATACTTTGAAACAAGATTTGAAGACACAACAAGTTGGTAATTAGATGTTTAAATAGCTCAAAAGTCTCCTTGATAATCCAAAAGAGACATTACGACTTGAATATAGCTAATCATTGCTATTCTAGTGATATGATTCCAATGCATGTGTGACACATCGATGTTCTAACCTCTCTTTTAATTGTATTTTTTATTTGTAAATTAAATGTTCTAACCCGTCAGTGTTCTTAAAAATCGAGGGAAAATTTAACGTTAAAATTGGAACCTCTATTTTAATTGTATTTTTTATTTATAAATTAAATGTTCTAACCCGTCGGTTTTTCTAAAAACCGCGGGAACATTTAGCGTTAAAATTGAGAATATTTATCAAATCCTTAATCAAATCCTTGCCGTCCATTTCATGACTATCAAAGCTCAAGATATTATCATTAATGATCTGCGTGAAATATTTCTGAATTAAAAAAATTAATAATGAACTCATGTAGCGCTTGAAAATATCCCTCACTTTAAGTTTTGCAAGAGTGTTTGTCACAGAGAGTTCTCTATGATGGATTGTAAGAGCAGAAAATTATTTAGGTTTAAGGTTTGTGTTCTTAAATATTTATTTGAACAAAAAATTATTTATTTATCTAACCCATTTTTTTGTTCATATAAGAAACGAATGCAAGAAAAAGCAATTGAGAATATATTGTTTTCCAGCATTTGATCTTCCCAGGATATCAAGGATTTGGAGATACAACATCATGAATAGTTTAAGGTTTGCAAGAGTGTTTGCCATGAATAGTTCTCTATGATTGATTGCAAAAGCAGATAATTAATTAAGTTTAAGATTTGTGTTCTTAAATATTTATTTGAGCAGAAAATTATTTATTTATCTAACCCATTTTTTGTTCATATCAGAAACAAATGCAAGCAAAAGCCATAGAGAATATCGTGTACCTATTATTTGATCCACACTGAAATTATATGATTTGAAGATCTAAAATCTATATATTGGAAAAATTAATTTACCTAACCCTTTTTTTGTTGGGAGAAAAGAGTTTCCCAGCATTTGATCTTGCCCAAAATATTAAGGAATTGAAGATCCAACATATGATCTTAATGGACAACCAATTTTTTTGTGTAAAAAATGTAATATTCTGGATAAATATTGTAGTTTGTAAATAAATTATTTTATTAGTATTCTGTGTAAACAATGTAACGAGTTTTATTAAAAAAAAACTATTAACCCCTCGATTTTCTTGATAAATTGAGATAAAAAAGGCGCTAGTTTTTGTAAATAATAAAAGTGCAGAAGTTGGAGTTCAAACCCACATGCTAATAAAATTATACCTTGGTGTTTTAAACACCAAAGTATTAAGTCTTTAATTTTTATGACAACCTTATTTACCTTGCTTCTAATGCTGAGGTAAAACACATTTCGCGTCCGATGTTAGATGCATTATTTATAGTAGTGAAAGAGTCTGGGAAGATGTAGCACAATGATGACATAAATTAAGGGCATCTTAACAGACATTGATATCATCCAGCAGAAATCTAAGTTTAGGATTTATGTTCAAACAGATTGTCGGAAAGCTTTTGAAGCTATCACAAGAGACACCAAGATGACATGTATTAGTGATTACATGTTAAATATGATCTATATGAAGTTAGTAGATTTCCAAGACTTCAAAGTCAAGCATATCTTATGTGAAGCGAATGAGCGTGCAAATAATTTAGCTAAAAATGTTGATTATAAGTTATATATGTGTCCGTAGAAATCAACAAGAGGTACAAAAATGACTTGAAAGGTGTATCCAAGGAGAGAATTATTCCTGCCTCCCCTTTCCCGGAAAAAAAAAACAATGATAATTAAATATATTAAGTTTTCTTAATTTTATATAAAATGATGGCTTACTGAGAGGAACAAAAGGTGCAATTTGGTAATCACGTGTTGGAAGCGAAAACTGGAGACTGGTGGGACAATGCACGTCAGAGGTTGGAGATCATGGGTACATAGATTACATGGGCTATTTTCCGAGTTGCGTTCTTAGAAAAGTATTTTCCTGAAGATATGTGTAGGAGAAAGAAGATTGAATTCCTTGAGCTGAAACAAGGGCATTCGACTATGGCTGAATATGCTACCAAGTTTGAGGAGTTGGTGAAATGAGTGGTTATTCATCCATCCCTTTTCACAGATCGACGAAGTTCAGAAGAATTGAGAAGTGGAGATCCGGAGAATCATCATATCTTTATCGGTTTTGAACTTGATTTAATCGAGCCCAACCGAATTTTCCTCGATTTGTCAAATTCCATGGTTCGAAATCAAAGAGATTTACACGCTAGAGGCTTGAAATTAGAGGTATAGGATTGTAGGATACATGAGAATCAAGAGTCGTTTCCCACATATGGCGCCACTATTTTGTTTCGAAATCAGATTGCATAAAGTTGCGGAAGCTACGACAGAAGAGAGCTTCTGATGCGACGAAGCGGGATGTACCTGCAAGATTAGCACTCAGATGCTCAAGTCCGTATGTGAATGAAAAGAGAGTATTCAAATTGTGTTTGAAACTTGTTACTTGAAATAGCGATAACTGAATCGTTACTTTTTCGGCGTAGGATGCGGGGGAACGTTGAATGCATTAGAGGCACAAATCACCTTCTTATAAGTCTTTGAGGATGGGTGATTCGAAGAACATTTTGAAAGCTCAACGATTACTTGGCCTAAATTCGGGATGTCTCGTCTCTTTATGGCAACATTCATGGAGATATGGCTGTATTGTTATATTGCTTTCTCAAAGATTACAACTTCACCTTCTTCAATTTCCCATCAGTCCGTATAGCTTCTTGAGTGTATCCTACACATCCTTAGTCATTTCTTCCTTCATGATCTTCTCAAACATGTTTGGATCCACATATTGATGGATCAAGAATGAACATTTCCCATCTTTTTTGCTCGATTTGCAATGATCAATCTACTAAGCTTCTACTCCATTTGCTTCCAAAGATGAGATCCCATCATTCACAATTTCAAACACATGAATATGACATTCATTTGCGCCTCCATTTATCATAGTATTCTCCTTTCAACCCTAGTAGATTTGTAGGGAATTGATTAGAACTTGTGCTTCCATTTTCCATTAATGTGAGCTAGAATTGAATCGGCGCTCTTGATACCAATTTGTTAGAATAATTTTTCGCATAAGGTAATAATCATAAAAAGGATATATCAAATTAGAGAGATTTAGAATGGAATTATAATGAAGAGTTTTTTTTCCAATTGATCTACTTGATTGATTTTACAAACACATGTTACATATTCTATATAGCATCATACTACTAACTAACTTCGAGCTCTAATGATATTCATCTTATTTCTAACTCATGCGGCTTTCACAATATAACTAAAGGTAAATTACATTAACATTTTCAAATGTTAGAGGAAAACGGCATTTACATTGACAAATGCATCAAAGTTACTACTAAATGTGAAACATCACAATCATCAACACTTTGATTACAAACTAACATGATATTGATAATCCACTCATTGAATGTCAAATATGTGAAGTCTCTAAGGGAGAGATAGATCCACCAACAATTAGAACACAATGCCAATTTTGCCATAGGATAGATAACTTGTTGCCTGTGTCTGACATTGCACTAAATTTTGTTTAATTTTACATATCCAATATTGAAAATGCAATTCAAAATAGAATTGAAAGTTTAAGTAACGTTATTCAATATTTATACGTGTGTCATAAACATAATTTGAACATGTAGATTTCATCTACAAATTCTTTTCTTTATTTATTGTATTCTTTACAATGTTAATAAAAATGCAAAAGACGTTCAACCTAGTATTGTTGAAAGCCTAATTAAAGCAATGCTAGAGAATCAACCTAATTGAATGATGGAGGTGTGTAAGATCTCACATTGAAGTTAATATCAGATAGGTCAACCGATGATCAAATTCATAATCAACCAACAATCTCAGAAGTTGCAAAGTGGAAGAAATAAGGCTATGACATTGTCTACTTCATGTTGTTTTTAAGTTGAAAAAGTTTAGTCATAATCATGATACATACATAAATTGATAAGATGCCTAAGAAGAAAGAAAACACAGTAGTTTAATACTAATAGACATTCACCAACTCATAATAGGAGAAGTTTTCAAGAGAAAATGCAAATTAAAACAATCTAAACAAAGAAAAGAAAACTGCTTACACATATAGCCAAGCAAGATTCACTAAATTTCTATATCGGGATAGAAATTACTTTTGTTATTTGATCATTCAATCCTCCTCACCTTCTTCTTCTCCTGATGCTCCTCAACACTTATATTAAGATCACCCAGCTTTTCCTCCAAAGGCGGCTCTTCACCGCCTAGTGATATGCCGTGCACCTCATTAGTGATTTCTTCTAGATCTTGTAAGTAGGACTTATGCTCCCCAAATCTAGTCATCAATCGTTTTAATCCAGATCTCTTCTTCATTAAAATCACACCATCTCCTATGTGCTCCTTCAGTTCAATCTCAGTATCATTACAATTAGCCTCCCACAAGTCATAACCAAGAGCACAGTCACCCGTTTTCAAAAGATAACCCAGATGAGTCTTGATATTAAATCTCGTGTCATTCTTTCCTAAATCTTTCACACGAGCAACCTCAACATGAGCTAAATTGAATTTCTTACCATCAGCATTAACCTCTGAACAAACCTCCTTAACATCGAGCACAACATATTCCACTAACTCTTTCCTAGTGAGCAAAGACTTGAAGGGTGCCCTCCAATACATATCACTATCTAAGCAACACTGCGTCGAGGTCAACGGATCAAACAAAACAATAACGTTGGTGACCTTGGTACAAATCACAAGAGGACCGATATTTCCCAAACACAGTGCAACTTTAGGAGGCAGAAAAATCAAATCCTTGCGACAAATAGGACAAACTTCAACCGAAAAAGTGTATCTATAACTATTTGAATCATGAGAAACAAGTTGCTTACTCTCAGAAATCCTCACAGGGAGTCGTCCCTTGATAAAATCAAGAAGCCTGTTAGCATGAATTCTGTTGAAAAAAAAGTAATCAATCCCGTGTTTCATCTTATTGATTCTCACAGCATTAGCAGCAACACCATGCTTAGAAATAGCATGTTCCAAACGAAAGAAACTATGCATACGTAATGCATGTTGTCTTAATTGCACAACAGAATCCCATTGATTGGGATTAGGCTGAACCCTAGTACAAGATTCACAGATGCGGTTGTGTTGAACAAACTCAACAAGATAAGATTGATGAAGAATTTCTCCATTGGGAACCTGTTTCTGAACAGTAGCCCTAATTTTGATAATCTTTGAATTGGGTCGAGATGGAATTGTTTGAGAACAAACCAATCTCACGTTACTGGAAGTCAAATTCTTTTGTAGTATTACTAAACAAAAATCAAGAAGCTGTTTTGGTTGTAATGGTAGTTTGATCCATGATGTGAGGGGTTCAGAGTAGCTTTTGCATTGGGGGCAATGTAGGAGATAGTGTTTCTTGCGTAACCCTAATGTGATATCGTTTTTTGATCGCAAACATTTAACGCATAATGTATTGGATGAGTTTGGTTGAATTGGGAATTTGCATTGGGAACAAGGAATGGTGCGGAAGGTTAGATCAACATCGGTTTCTTCCATTGATGAAAAGAAAAAAACAGTTAGAAAGAGGAAAGTTTGAGATTGAGAAAGCGAAGGAAGTGTTCTCACTACTTGTTGAATCTTCTCTAGGGTTATAGAGTTGATTTAATATTTGATATAAAAAGGTATATATATTGTTATAGTTATATAAAATATATAGTTACTAAAAAAAAAACGTATATTGTTAGGGATTCATTTTTATTTATAATAAAAATTTATTAATTTGAAAATATTTAAAATTTGTATTGCAAGAGTAAATAAATTCATCAAATATATTTATATTGTTATAATATTTTGAAAATTAAAAAATATGATAACGATAAACATTTCTATACAAAAATACAATTTTAAATAATCTTAAAGATTTTTTTTTTTTACAAATTTTATTCAAAGTCCACTCCTTCATTCCTCTTCAAAGTTTCAAACAAATTTTTAGAGTAAATTATATGAATTAGAAAAATTGATTAAAATATTAAATTTATTTATTATTTGTAAATTTTATAAATTTATCATTATGATAGAGAAATAATTAACATTTGTTATACAAGAGTATTTATTAATATTATAGAAAAGATTATAATTAGGAAAAATAGTTAAATTTTAAAGAAGAGAGTATTATAAAAAATAACAAAGAGAATATTATTATTATCTTTGGCTAAACAAAAAAATATTTTCTTCAATTTTTCCTTAGATCTTTATTTAAAACTTGATTTTCCTTTCAACATCAAACTCTTTAAAATTTTCCAAAATTCCTACCCAAATTCATTTTCTTCACACCAGTTAACTCCACATTTAAGAAGATTGATTTTATTGTTGTTTGTTAAATTCAAAAATTAAATATTCAAATAAACTCATTTTAATTTTAAAAAAACTCTTGGTCGTAAAATTCAAAAAACAAAAATCCAAATAATGTGAACGAGATACAAGCATTTAAATTGGAGTCCACAATCGAAATTGCAACTGCAATATATTGTAGATGTGGTTGTTCACAATCACATCGGACTGCAATTGCATTGTGATTTTAAAATCATATTTCTGATTGTATTAGAAATTAAATCAGACAATTTCAATCATATTTCTTTAAGTATTTTCATAAAAAAATTTAATCATTATAATCCTGAAACTCAATTTACTTCTAATGTATTAAAAATATATGGTTGTCTCTGCAACTGTAGTGGACCACAATTGCTATATAATTTTAAAGTCATACTTTCCATCGTATTAGGAATTGAATTAGACTATTTCGATCATATTTCTTTAAGTATTTTCATCAAAAATTAAATCATTAGAACCCTAAAACTCAATTTATTTATAATATGTTTTTTTGGATAAGAACTTGTATTAATAAAGCACAATGGATGCTAATCTAATACAAAAGGGATCCAGACAACAAAAAAGACACAAAATCACCGTTCAAAAACTACAACCCAACATACATTTTAGGATTGAAATACCACACCTCCCTAAGAAACTCCGCACAACCCTTGGAAAGAATAGAAATACATTCCCAACCTAACAATTTAATGAAAAGAAAATTTTCAAACATATTCCAAACAGAATTATTGAACACCGCCTTATTCTACTAACTCACACACACCAACACACTAATAACCACAAAAAAGAAAAAAATGATTTAACAACACCAACCAACCTTTCCAAGAGAAGTTCCAAAAAAACAAAACTCTGAGGCATCCCCCACGCCCCCTTCTGCCACTGAACCCGTTGTAGAAACCACACTCAACCAACCTAAAACTGCCTTCCAAAACTGTTCGACTTTGGAACATCTAAAAAATAGATGATCCACAGATTCTGAAGGTGAGAAAAATACACAATAAGGGGGGTAAAATTGTGTATCTGATAAAGTTTTTCTTTTAAGAACAATAGCTTTTGAATCTGACAAAGTTTAGATTCTTGGCAAGAGTAAGCAGCAGCGGAAAAATTTAAAGTGCAAAAGCAATAAGTAAATCACACTTAGAAATTATCCTGGTTTCTCTATAACGAGACTAGTCCAGTCCTTTTGTCCCACAAGAGCTTTTCACTATAATCAAAACCTGATTACAACTTGCTTAGACATATTAGTCTAAGACTTCCTGCTCAATAACACCTGAAAGAGACTTTCCTGCCTAAACTCACAGTTCAGGACTTCCTTGCTCAATCACACCTGAAAGAGACATCTTTGGCTAAACTCACAATTAATAACTTCCTTGCTCAATTACACTTGAAAGAGACTTGCTTGCCTAAACTCACAGTTTAGGACTTCCTTGCTCAAATACATTTTGTCGGAGACTTTTACAAATTTTAAACAAACTGTTTAGGATTACAACAAGATGTACTTGATATACAATCAGAGGTACAAAGAATATACAATAAGCAAAGACCATGTTACTTGAGATTTCTAAGATACACAATTGTGAGAAACTCTCAAGACTATGTGCAACCTCAATATATATATATATATATATATATATATATATATATATATATATATATATATATATATATATATATATATATATATATATATATATATATATATATATATATATATATATATATATATATATATATATATATATATATATATATATATATATATATATATATATATATATATATATATATATATATATATATATATATATATATATATATATATATATATATATATATATATATATATATATATATAAAAGCTTAGAGGGTGAAACAATTCTTGTTATTGTTGTGATATCTTGTTATATATTGGTGTATATTCTTTTGAATCTTCAGCTCCTTATATATAGGAAACAAAAGAGACGTTAGAAGCTTACTTGCACATATCTTTGCTGAAGAAACAGTTTTTAAGAGAGAGACGTTGGAGTAGGTACGATTAGGATCTTCATCTTCTGAATAATCTCTTTATCCATTGTGTCTTTCTCAAGTAGGCATGTTGGAGTATACTGAAGAAGTCGTATCAAACATCCTCGAGCCTTGTGCTAAAACCCCTAGTTGACTTTCTCTACAATTCTGGCAGTTGATAAGATCGATTTGCTTTTACACAGAATACAGACAAAAGTGTTGTACTACATTTCCAGCTCATCACAAGCTGAGTCAATAGGCGCTGAGGTTTTATGTAACAATCCGATTTTAATCCATTAGAATCTAAGTTACTTGCTTATTATTAATTAGCTCTTTAATTGGGTCAAAACCAAATTAATTACAATATTAATGATCACGCATACTTAAACAAATGTTAGTATACCCTATCGTTCTTTAAGTACTTTGATAACATCAAAACCAAAAGAGTATGAACATATTTTGTTCCAACAGATTCTCTCTCCAAACCACATAAAATGTTGAAAAACACTTAATGTTTTTATATCGATGCCCTCCCTGACCAAGCCTACTTCCTACATCATACCCGTGAATTATTCCCAAGTAATAAGCTCAATTTGCTCAATGTTTTCAACCAAACCATAAAAATGCCACAACCAGTCAGCGCCAACCCAACCTCCTGCCTCCTCAACACTACAAAATATATTGGTGGCTAGTTCAAAGATTTTTGGAAAAGCTTCCTGCAAAGGTTGGTTTCCCAACCAATTCGATTTCCAAAAGGTTGTTCCCCTATCGTGTTTAACCTCTCACTGAACAGCTTCTGCAAACCTGTTTCGGACAATAATAGAAATGTCAGACAAAATCAAGTCCCGCCACCAAATAGAATCATTGTTTTGCAACACCCTTTTGTCACCAATAAGAACCTTTGTAATGGGGTTCTCATATCTACATCTTAGGATCTTACATCACCCCGATTCTTGCTCGTTCAAAATCCTCCATTTCCACATATTTAATAAAACTAAATTCAATACTGCAATGTCTATAACTCCGAGCACGCCTTGATCACGGGAACTGCAAACGGTTTTCCAATTTACCAAATGAATCGACCTTCTATTCTCACTACCACGCCAAAGAAAATTACTTTGAATTTGGAGAATTTCAAAAACCCTTTTGAAGGAGCTTTGTATAAAGATAAAGAAAATATGGATAGCATTTAACACCGAATTAATTAAAACCACACGACCCGCTAAAGTAAGGTGCTTCCATTTCCAAACCGCCAAGATATTCATCACATGATTGATCAAATCCTTCCACGTTGCTAGTTTCCTAGGGCTATCCCCAGCTTTTACTCCAAGGAATTTGAAAGGTAAATGATCGAAAAAATAGCAAGTGTACTATTTGGTCTTATGTAATAATAACAGGGAAATTCCCCGAATGTCGATCTCAAGGAATGCGTATAAATATTGAGTTCATTGTATGGTTCAATTAAAAAAAACTAGAATGGGTTTTGTTTTGAGATTATCAATTAACAATAAGTGAAAATAAGCAGAATATTAAATTGGCTTTTTGAAAGGAACATGCTAGGGTAAATTGTATGATTTGCCCTGTAACAATCTTAAATCCTTATTTCATTAACAAGTTCTAAATACTCAATTACCAGATCTTTAGTTTATTTTCCCCTAAAGTCTTAAAGGTAAACCTTTGATCATTCAATCTAAATCCTAAGTCACTATAGATTTATGATGAACTCAAGCATTTGTTTTATCAAGAATTAACTGGTACTATAGGATATCATTAGTCCTAGGTGATATCTATTATAGTTTAATTTCACAAAAACCTTAACAACGGCGGTCCAGCCTAATTGTTAACCATAATTGAATCCATATTGGTCCGACAGAGAAAGCATTAGAAACCTTGTACGATCAAATTGAATATGAAAAACAAATATATTATTGAAATTCGGAAAGAAAGTTGTTTACAGAATCAAATCAGGGACACCCCCTAGTATTGGATGGTTTAGCTACTCATATTGTTCAAAGTAATTCCAATAACATAAAATTGAGACATTACAAATTAGTGATGAACTTTGATCTTCAATTGCTCCCACTCATGAAAACTCTTTTTTCAACAAAAACCTCGTATGCTTCAATCTTCAATCTGAAATTCTTCGCATGTCCAAAAGTCAT